AACTGTGCGCCCGATGTTAACTGATGTGAGGCATCCTTTGAATTAAATTAAATGACACACAAAATGAAATAAAACCGAAATTTCCCATAAAGTAAAAGACTTTTTGTTGCTTTTTTGACAGATAGACAGTTAAGAGTGGTTTTTATATGATAATAGAGAAGAAGATATATATGGGTCTCACAGCGGCCTTCAATGTGTCGGTGCTATACTTCTTATCGTCAGAACCGGATCTGTCGGTGGGTTTAACCAATGGATGGACCAAATTATTCAATGAATAAGAATATCCTCCGCTGTCTTGATTGAAGTCGAGTTTTATTTTGCCTATAAATTAAAGCCATTAATGGTTTAGTTGTGTTTTCTTTCTTCAGATCAAATCTAGACATTTATTTTCACATTATTTGCCCACAAATTCACTGACTTTTCTCTTTCTCTCTTTTTCAGACAATTTATGGCTTCACTTAAAGGAGAGAACTTTTAGTGTTATTTTTTCGTTTTTGTTTTGTTATAAACGAGAAAATTTCGTTAAACAACATATAAATTGCAAAATTAGTTAATAATTTATAAGAGATTTTTTGGGCGAAACAATAGATAAAAGTGAGAGATAGAAAAAATGCAATTTAGATGATTGGCTCAAATTTAGATGATTTGGATCACAGAAGACGTGAAAATACTCATCACATACTCAATAGTAGAGGAAGAATGAGAGGAACATTGAAGAAAATAATTAAATTTTTGTAAAAAACAAATTACTTTACACTAAAAAATTAGAGAACAACGAAAAAATGTAATAAACGATTTGATCGAAGAAAAAAGTATTAAAATACAGCAAATATAAAACATGAGGGGAACGGACCGTCGGCTCCAAACTTTTGCGAATATGAAGGACTGATAACTCCGAGTCCAATGGAAAACTTGGGCGGCTTTTGGATGATTGGCGTGAATTTGTTGGTCTCTTCCGTCGGCTTCTTCTCGACGCTGGGAAGAGTACCCGTCTGTTGACCCGACACTACAGCCAATGATAGCACTAATACTACGGACACCGAAAATATTTCCATTTCATGTGTATTTTCAATATGTATTTATTGAGAAATTAACTACAAATAACTTCAGGACACGAAACGAATGGGAAATAAAATTTTATTAAAAAAATATAACAATTTTTTTCAGTAACAACTCGTTGTGTGTCACAAATATGTGTGCGAAATGGACTACTGGTAGGGACTGAGCGCCTGCCTCTCCACCAAAAACCGAGTGACCGAATAAAAAACCAGTAAAATTGTAATGAAATGAATAATAATATGTGGAGAAAGAAAAAATAATTATAATTTTTGTTATATATTTTCAGAATCAGTACAAAAATAAAGTTATATAAGAGAGAGAATTAAATGGTTTTTTGGTTGAATGAAAGGGAGGTGTTGTCCGACCGTTAGGGCCAGTGGTGTGTTGTTTGGGGCCAGAAATGGTGATTGCGTTTCCTTTTCTGACTATTTGTTCCCCAAATAACAAAACTAAAGCCCTATTAAAAGAAATGAATGGTTTGACGCACTTCTGGAATCCATGTCCATCTGGTACGGGATTGTCACATAAATACAGCACTTATGATAATTCACTACTTTTAATGCCAACACATAGAGAGAGATAGAAAAAAATATATACTCTAATAAAGCTCTTGACCCAAATTCATGGCTACAATTGCTTCTCTCTCTCTCTCTCTCTCTCTCTCAAAGTTTCCTGACTTTCTTGTATTTCTTTAAGCAAAGAAAAAATGTCACAAATTTAGCGCTCGTGTAATTGTGATCCAGAAAACAGTTTTATTATATTTCGTTATTATTATTATTATTTTGATTACTTGCATAACAACAACACTCTGTGTATATGTTATGCAACGCTTGAGTGCTTTAAATATATTATAGCCATCAGGTATAGGCTATTTGGATAGGGCTTCTCAGAGCTCCGGTAGCTCTCAGTCTTTCGGTCTTAACAGAGAGTTAAACAGATAGGAGAGAGAGAGAGAGAGAGAGAGAGACCAACGCCCGCAACATATGATTATTATTAATAATAATGATAACGATTTAAATGTGAAAACAAGTAAAAAAAGGTATAAAATGCATACAAATAAAACTGGATTTCGAGGGAAAAATAGAAACAAAACTAAAAATTTAAGAATAGATTAACGAATATATTGTGTAACGAATCACAAAACTGTTTGCATAAGAATTGCAATAGAAATTTGTGCTGAAAAAGTAATTCCAGAGTTTATTTACACTTTAATGAGTTTTATATAATAGTAATCATAATAATAAACTAATAAATTGGTAAATATTTGTTTTAGACAACAAACCAACTATTATTATATATTTTCTCGTTTGGGCACTAATTGTAATCCTATTTATAATTAAAACTCATTTTCAAAACAATATTTTATTTGACAGAAATTTGGTTTAAAAGGATTTTCTCATCAGATTTGATAGGAATTAGGAATGAAATAAATGAAAGACAATTTTATGTTCAGTTATAATATTTAATTTTATTACACATTTATTTTTATTATTCAATTTTACTGTACAATAGTTTTTATTTATTTATCTATTAATAATAATAATTATATTTATTTTCAAATGAAATTGTTTCTCAATTTTTTACTCAAATAATTAGTAATTTGTTCAGAAAGTCTTTAAATATACAAAAAGTGTTTGTTTTTGGTTTTTGTATTGATTTTTGTCGTAAATATTTGTTTAGAAATTTATACACAAAACGATTGAAAAAGAAGAAGAGAGAAGAAGAACTTTCTTTACGTTTTGTTTTTTGTTGCAATCGTTGCAGAAATTGACGACAAGTTTTTTAGAACTCAAAAATTGTTTTCATCCATACTTTTCTCATTTTTATAATATATTTATAAATAATTTAAATACAATTTTTTCATAGCAAAAAGTCTCATTACAAGCGGCACTTTAAGGCCTCGTGTTTTGTCACACTTTGTTATTTATGTTGTGTTTTATACAAGTCTTACAAATTGTTTCATTAATTTTACTCAATCTTTAAATAATAATAATTAGAAATCAATGGATCGACGAATTAATAGAAGAAAACAATTCAATAATACATGAGATATAATAGAAAGACATAAATTCTAATGGAAGACAATAATAATAATATGCAGTCAAAGACATATTACAAAAGCTTGTGTTCCGGAGATTCATGTATTAGATTATAGAGAAGATTAGATTGGATTAGATTTATGACAAGTTTTACACAAATTGCTTCATTCGTTTCAATTCATCTCATTATTATGTCCTATTGATTGGGAGTTGAGTTACCATTTGAGTGTGTTTTGTATTGATCTCAATATGTATCGTGTATTTTACAGATAAATCTCAATTAAATTTCATTAAAATATTAGTATAAAAGGAACAATAGATCTGAAGATCTTATGTATAGATAAGTAATAGACATAAAAAGAGTATAACAAAGAGAATGTGATAATTAGCTGATGTGTTGAGTGAATGGATCCAAGAGGAAGGGGAGAGACAGAGGACATTATGCCAATGTTTTTGTTGCACACAATTTGTTGGACACATATATTCTTAATATATTTAGTGCACAATTAAAATGATTTCTGTGAAGGAATGTATATATAGTGTGTGTTTTGTAAATTCAGTTTTTGAATTAATTATTTATATATTATTGACTCAAATATACTTTTATATATCAAATGAATGACAATATATTCTGTACACAATAATAATCAAAAAATTTATTACAATTAATGAACTAATCTTTTGGTCGTAAAAATTTGATTTCAATGTATTCTCCATTTCTTATATGACATTAATATTCAGTGCAAAACACGCATACAATTGCTTTAAATTTCATCTCAAATATATTAATAATCAAGTGATTGATAGCCAGAGCACCGGTAATAATGTATAGCTATAGTGATCACCAGTTCAGAGGCACAACACTTCGCACTCGTATTCTTGTCTCTCATTACAAAAGAAAATCCAAATAAAAACAAATTACAAAAGAATTTCATTCATTCATTCATTTTTAAATAACATTTGTGTTTCATTTCGTAGCAAAAGCTGTCCCTTAAAAACATTAACTATTTTTCTTTATATATAATATGTATAATAATATATAGAATTTCTTAGAGAAGTAAACATTATTTCATCACTAAATCCTTTAGATATAAGAATGAGTTTACAATTAAAAGTAAAAATTCATCAAAAATTTGATGCCAAGAAATAGTGGATTAGAAAATTAAATTGAGACATAAATCAGTTGTTGTTTAATACATAATAAAAAATTCAAAATCACTTTTTACACCTAAAATTATATTTATTATATAAATAACTTATAGCACCGATTAATGCTATTCTCAGGTCTCTTCCCTTAGCTTTTAATATAATATCATATTTAACTGCTTTTCAAATATATTTTCATTAAAAATCTGTATGTTTTGCCTTTCATTAAGCGCTCATTTTTCATATTAAAAATCCTAATCTTAAAAAATAATAAACTTTTGCGTTTCGAGTCTAAAACTAAATAATAAATTCATAAAATTGCACCAAAAAATCTGTTTTAAAATTTTCATTACATATCGTATACATAATGAAAGACTTACAAAAATTGCTCATAAAATCAAAGTTATACTTAAAAAACATAATTAAATTAAAAATTACAAAAAGAAATTCTGTGGCACTGAATATGAGTTATAAATTAAGAAAAACATATCCGAAAAACACATTTCTCGTCGAAAAACTCATTAAAAATATAGTCAAAAATTCTATTCAATATAATATATCGAAAAAACTTATCAAAAGACTTAATATATTTTCCGTTCAATTTCCAAAAGACTGGCAAAAAATCTCTATAAATGTCGTTATATTAAAGAGAAAAACAAGAAATTTGTTGTTTTCTGTTTTATCTACACTTTTCTTCCGAAGAGTTTTTAGTGTATATATAAAGTGAATGCAAAAAACTCTTTCATTAAGGGTTTTGTCATTTTTGATGAACAAATCACAGCAACAATAATAATGATAATAATAATCATTTTCGCAATAATAATAATAATCTTAAATCAATTAATTATGTAATTTCTTATACACAGAGAAACTAGAGATGGGATTCATTTGATAAATACATTAATCAAATGCATCGATGCGTATGACACGTGTGAGTGAGTGGGTTGTGATGGTTGTGGTGGGGATATGGATGTGTTTGGTAGGGCCTGTGGCCTAGGGGTCGGTCTCGCCGGTCATGATCTGGTGGGTCTGTTCCAGTTTCCACGACAACTTGTTTTTGCGCGAAAACTCGTCCTCTTCTAGCGTTTGCATTAACTGTGGTTTTAGAGAAATAACAATTGCAAACACAATACACATTAATATTCACTATTTGGCCGAAAAACTTATATAACAGTAAAACAATTAAATGAGAAAATCATTTCATGTGTGAAAAAAGAGACAAAATAATAATAATACTGAAAAACACAACACAATATATAAATCAACGCCAAATCCGTATGACTTGAATATGACATTCAAATTATAAATGATTCGCTAATTATATGTAAATTGAAATACGGTTTTGTGTTTCTCATTATAAAATTATGTCTCATTTTTTTAATGGACGGCACAAACAGAGCGCCAGTAGTCAGTAGTAGTGAGTAGTAGTCAGTAGTTAATTACCTGATCGTTATATTTGACGGCATAGCTGTAGAGCTCATGGAGGGCCACATTTGTGTTGTATTCGTGCGCGTGTTGCTAATGGACAGGTAGGACACAGAGTGAACACATTTGATTAATTATATGGTTTTACAAATTATATATTAAATATACATTATTTGATAACAAAAAACTAATTATTAATGAATGGCAGAGGAGAGTGGAGGCAGTGATATATTTCATATATAGTAATACATACTCTGGACTCTTCGGCGAGCATAGCGTTCATGTCCTGATCACTAATGGCGGGCATGTGTTGAATGTCCAGATAGTATCTCTCGACCCAATCTTTATAAATAGGAATGTCTTTGGCGTACAATAGTTTACTGCTCGGCGAGTCTTTGCCCAACCGGTGGTCGGATGTGGAACAGGCGTCCATAAAGGTCTGGGCGACCACTGATAGGCACGAGTCGACGATATTTGATTTGTTAATGTCGAACACAAAGTTGGGATTCTTGATCAGATTCACCCAAAACCTTAGCGGCAAACTGTTTGACTTCCAGGTGTGCACCACTTCAGAGTCAGTGATGCCGTGATTGAGCGCCTGATCGTCCAGGAAGTCAAACATATATTTGATGGCCAGCGGTAGGGCTGAGCCCCTGTGCGCTGTACTGAAGATCGTCTCAAAGAGATCGTCGACGAACTTCTGGAGCGTGCCTTTAGTGGCCAACAGGCGAGTCAAGTAGATCTCAGACACCATTTTGTTGCCTCTCTCGCCGTCTTTCCCGTTGTGGTCGTTGTCTTGATGTTTGACTAAATGCCAGTATTTGTAGCCGTTCTCCATGTCGTGGTTCAGTGGACTCGTGGCCCGACTCATGGGCGGAGAGGAGGCCTTATTGAAGCCGAAGTTCAATGTCTCGTATTTGTGTGACTTTTCCATCTTCTCCGACAGGATTGAGATGTTATACATTGAGCTCTGTTTAGGCACTAGTGTTAGGGACGCGCCGTCCGAACACTTGTAATGAGCCAATGTATTCATTCGCTTCCATTCGCCCTCTTGTTTGGTGGTCTGGTCCTCGTCTGACAGTATGAGTCGCCCGGACTGTCCCGTCCGCCACTCCAGATCCAAGTCCTCTTTCATCGGGCGCTGAGAGTATGATATACTCCGATAAATGGCGTCCAAAGACTTCTCTTTGATCTGAGTTATGGTATCACAATCTAACACTTTGACGGGAGTCTCCATATTGTCGGCCTGCATCAGCTGATCCAAGCCTGACATATACGCCGTCTGCGGAGACATCGACACGTATACAGTCATCGTCTTGTATTCAATCTGTTGTCGAATCAGTTTCTCTTCTGAGAGCGAATATCGGGCCTCAGAGGTGACACAATCGACGGGCCCTTTGTCTACCTGTTGTTTGATCGCTCGGTAGAGTAGGAACAGTGGATCGCCGGCGCATTCCTTCAGGAATTTGTACAACAAGAACGTGAACCACGAGCTCAGCATCTTCTCGGCCACTGATTCCGTTCGGCGCAACAGTAACTTCGGGTGACTCTTGCCTTCGATGCACTTCTCGATCAAATCGGCCAAAAGGGTCTTCAGTATGTCTGTGCAGTACTCCATCTTTCCCTGAAGTGTAACCATTATAAGAGACGCGACGTTCACTCTGTCTCTCATCGAGAAGTAACGGTTCGACTCCAGAGTGCGAATGAATAGCAATAGAAACGTCTTATTCATCACCAGTTGTCCAAAATGTCTGAGACCCTTCTCGATGAACAATCTCTTGGACGGATCCACATTCATGTCGCGCAACACCGGATGATCTTCAGAGTTAGGGAACAGCACTTTCATTGTATACATTCGGTAGTCGAGGAACGGAATGCCGCCGACAGTCAGATCGCTAGTCAAGTCAGTCATCTCTGTCTGGAGTTCAGCGAACGCTTCCTTGCACTCGGAGGCCACTCTCAACTCCAATACATCCATCTGTTCCTGCATTGTCTTCAACACACGACTGCTTTCAGTTGACTTTCGGCGGTAGAGAATGAGAATAAACACAACGATGAAGAAGAGGATACAAATGCCAACAATGACTACAATGAGAATGTGTTGTTGGATGTGTTCGCCCGGCGCTGGCGTTTGTTCGTAACTCAGTTTTCCGATCGTAAAGTTAAGTTTGCCTCCAATGCCGACAATCACGTCTGGTATTGAGTCCGAGCCGCGACCCGACTCGGGCGGAATCGATGGCGGGCGACACGTGAGCTGCAGTCGCGACAGTGACGTGACATTGCAAGTACTGGTGCCGATCCAAACGGTCACATCCGACTCTTGAGAGGCGCCGTCCAAATACTTGCCATTAATGGTCAGGTATTCGCTTCGATAGTATTTGATTCCGTGCTCTTCGTTGAAGGGATGATAGACTGGGTTTCGATACATTCGGAATTTAGAGAAGGGGTTGTGTTTGCGAGTGCTTAAGCCCATGACCGAAGTGACCGCATCCATAATAAAGCCAAAGTCGAGTTCAACAAACTCGCGGTCGTCGCGATCGAAGTCCAGTTTGTCGATCGGCACGTGAGGGCTCTCGCACTTCATTTCGACGGCCGAAACGCTGGTGCAATTGCTGGCAAACTTCTCGCCGTCCACTTCCACATACATCTGTGGCTTTTGAATGATATTCAAGTGTTCGCCTTTCACTGAGATTGTGATACCACCGGCGGGAACGCCTCGCGCTTCGCCCCGATTGCCACCCGAACCCGATTCGACTGAATTGATTCGCGGGTCCTCGACGTACAGGTAGTTGTAGTAATCGAAAAATCGGAGTCCGTTATCAAACTTGACCCTCACTTTCTCCTCTCCCGGCATATGTCGAGCGCTTGTAATACATTCCGCAAAATTCACTGTCCGTCGCGTGACATTACACGACAGGCCGCCTAAGAAAGCCTCGGCCTTAGAGCCGGCGTCCATATAGAGGCCTTCAATTGACAGTCGAGTGCCTCCACTGGTGGGACCTTTGCTCGGGTTTATTGTCAGTATCTTGGGATTGACGAAACTGTACGAGTCTTTGGATTTGGCCGTATAGTCGTTGAGCACCTTTACTATGATTGGACCTGAGATGGAGCCCATTTGGGCCGAGTGTCCGGTCGTCATATTGCGAGGGCTCTGAACAATGCACTTGATTTTGGCCGTCTTTACGTAGTCTTCGCGATGGGGACTACAGTTGACGACATGCATAGTATTGCCGTTCACTTCGTGCGAAATGCCAACACCGGTGGCGATGTCCTCGAAAGTACGGCCCAAATTGATGCCCTCAATGGTCACATTGGTTCCGCCCTCCCACGGGCCAGACTTCGGGTAAAAGTCCAATATCTTAGGGTCGGGACACGTTTGCTGGCGGTTGAGCCACATTGTGTTGTGGTGTCGGCACTGTTCCTGCACCTGACACGAGTCTGTCTCCTGACACCATCCGCACGAGTATTTCTCTTGCAATTCGAGACAAAATCCACAGTTTGGAGCCATTCCCTGACACCGGTATATCAACACTACAACAAAACGGCGAACAAATGGTCAGAAAATATAAACTTAATGATAGAGTTTAATGAATAAATTGCAAATACAAACCATGAATATTTTCGGGATTGTCGAGTGGTTTACTTCCGTCCCAAATGACGGCGAATAGTGAGCTAATGTTGGGCTGATTGCCGATGTATGAGAACTCGAGGCCCTCGCAGTAGATGGTGTCGCCCAAGAGCTGTGCGTTAACCTGTTTGACGCGGCCCTCGATATTGAACTGACAGACAAAACGTGTGGACACAATGAACTGCGGAATGTTATCGACCTTCACTTGAATGCGTTTAGTTATACCGCTCGGCACCAGAACTACAATACATACACAACAATGAGTTACACATACAATATCAGTAACCATTGATTAATGAGAAGAGAGAGCTCTGTTGTCAGGGCTCGAGTGCCGGACGTGCGATACCATCAATGGCATCGCTGGCGCCCTAATGACACACTCGTCAGACCGAAATGCATACCTTCAGTGGTTCCGCCGGCGGTGGCATTAATTCGGGGACAAAAGCCGGGACCCGAGCGGATACTCGGGCCAACTGATGAGATACCGGTGACGAGGATATCATTGCGACAGTTCTCTCCGGTGTCGTGCGTACAGCGGTGTCCGCCGACACACCAGTCGCAGGGGAAAGGACTGGACACACAGGCCGTACAGCTCTGATATGAGCTGCAGTCGTAAAACGTGAAGTTTGTGGCAACAAAGTCGGGACCCGTTTTCATTCGCACCGATAGTTTTGCAGTGAAATGATCTGTAAATATAATGATATTAATGAATAGAAAGACATAATAAATGAATTATATCTCGATTTTCATTAAATATGAAAGCATTAAATATTGAGAGGAGGGCCGAGACGTAACATCACAGCACCGGTCTATGACATTATCATTGATGATAATAGTTATGGATTGGGCGGTAGTCTAACAATAATGATATTAATGAGTATTCATCTGATATATGAGTCCATAAAAAAATAAATTACAAATTATTTCTAATAATTAAAGACAAGGCAGAGATCAGGCGCTCACGTCCTGTACTGTCACATCTCTGGTCACTTCTGGTAGTAATGGTTTTGACCGCAGATATAGATAATAAACTCCGGTCCACACAATCCCTTAATTTCAATTTTGACGCTAAACCTGAATACTAATGAGATGGGGATGTTTTGTGTGCGAGAGAGCGAGAGAGAGAGAGAGATGAGTGAAGGCATGCCATGAATTATGAACGCAGAGATATGCAAATGTATAAAATAGTTGGTGTGAAGCCCATAGAGCACACGTCAGATACTCTTCTGCCAAACACAGGCTTGTGTTGAGGCAATAATACAACGAAAATTTAATTTTGAGGCATATTTCTCGATGGCATTCGTGAGTTAGCGATGAAAAACAGACACAACAGAGAGAAAGGAAAGAAAATAATGAAAATAAAAAGCAAATTCTTTTATAATACACAAGCGATATATGACTTCTATTTAATATGTGTTTCGATCCATGAATTGCCAAAAGCATTGGTTTTGAATAACAATTTTTTACGAAACAATATTTTTCCACTGAATTGCACGAAAATAACTAATATTTTTCCTATTCTTTTGTTGTGTGTCTTTTTATTTAACACATATTTGTGGTGCAAATCATTTTTAATTTGCAATTAACGCAAACGAAAGCACCTGTTCTTTAAGAGAGAAGGCGATGCCATTCGTGTCTCTTATATTAAAGTCTGAATACATTTCTATCCTTTCGTATATGTGTTGAGGCTTTGCATTCATTGCAAAACAGAAACACTTTCTAAAACTAAAAAGACATTTAATGTAAAAAAGAAATTTATAATAAAAGTATAATTAAATTCTCATAAGAATTGCAAAAAACAAAAGAGAAAATAACAATAAAAAGAGAGACACCGAAAGAGAATTTAATAAAATCCATATTAAAACAAATTATTAAATATGTGTATAAAAGTGAAAATGAATGTCAAATATAATTAGGATTTACATCCGTTTAATAGACAGTAAAACAGTAAACATAATGTTCTCCGAAAAAATGCTTCTCTCGTAAAACAATCGGTACATAAAGAAGAGACAAAAAATTGAGTGAAAACTCTATTTTATTGTGAAACTAATAAAAAGTGAGCCCTAATAGAGAAACAGTGCAAACACTAATGTAAGGCATATATGGAGTGTTTATGAGTCCCTCATGAGAAATAATGGTCTAATAGTGAGATGCGAGAGAGAGAGAGAGAGAGAGAGAGAGAGAGAGAGANTGTAATGAATGAGAAAAAACAATTTATTTGAGAAAAACACAATTAAAAGAGTGGAGCAAAACAGTGGGAGAGAGATGTATGATACGTACGCTGTCCGGGAGATATTGGCGGTAATGAGTCTGTTGGCGGTGTCGGACAACTCACACCATTTGCAGAACGGGTGGCATTAGTTATCTGAGTCTTGGCTGCAGCTGTGAAGGCGCAGAAGAAGGTGGCGTCGAGAACCGGCAGGTTATCGATCACAAGCGATAGCTATTTATATAAATTAGGAGACAAATAAAAAATAGATATCAAACAATAGAAAGACAACACAAACGAAATGAAATGAAAAAAAGTGCAGACCAGAGGAAATTGTCAAAATAAATGGTCTTTTATTGCACTCTAAACAACAATAAGATGGGAGAGAGAGAGAGAGACATACGGTTCGGGCAGTAGTCCTTTGAATCTGTGGCGGGTGGACGTGTGTAATGGTCGTACATTTGCCACTCTTGTACGACAGCCAATAGAGAGGGTCCTGAGCGGCCTCCGCACAGTCGCTCCGAAGGGAGCACTTGTTTTCGAGCGAACACCAGCCGCAGTACGGGTCGCGAGCGCCCAGACATTCGCTGCACGTGCGGTACACCTGACACTCCTGTACCTTCACTAGTGTCACACGTCTTGTGGTCATTACGTATAAGTAGTTCTTGTTGTTGAGGTCCACGAAAGTCATGTCTGCGTTGACAGCACTTCCCTCCTCGATAGGGATGTCGGAGAACTCGAATGCACTGATACTCGTCTCGACCACTGCCTGTAAATTGACAATCAAAACAAACACATGGTATTAAATGCTTGAGTCAATCGTATAATGAGGCAAACAGTATATGGGATGCGGAGAGCGAACGGCAATTCATACAAATGATGATAAATGAAATGAAAATATTTTCTCCGCTCAACACATCAGATATAGAGTGTATGGTTTACTCGACCTCTCAATTCACACATTTTTTGGCACATTATGTGAGAAATGCTATGAAATAGAGATTTTCTTTTTATGTATTATATCAAGACTTCACTTCTCTCTCACATTCAAAAACATTATTTTGTGTTTATTTTTATATAAGACATGGGAATGAAATTCAACCATTCATTCAATACAATTCAATACTTTTATCGTAAACATTGCAAACGTGAAAATTAAGACAACAATTGATATATAATGGGAAAGAAAAGAAACTGCGAGAGAGAGAGAGAGAGAGAGAGAGAGAGAGAGAGAGAGAGAGATGATAGGATGAGATGAAAAATATATACTCGAAAACGCTTTTATCACTTTTGTATAACGAAAGCAAAAGTTTGTTATTTTCAGACAATTCACACAAAAAGTCTTTTAACGAGTTTTTTCTTTTCTTTCATTTTTATTATTTATAACACAAAAAATCGGAATAAAATTCAATGAAGACTTACAAAGAGCTATTGAAAACATTTTAATTATCTCAGAAAAATGTCAAATGAATTATTTCTGAAAAATAAAGAACTTATTCAAAATGTTTTCAGACATATTGTTAATTGAAACGAAAAAATATTTTTCACATATTATTGCGTGACTTCTATGAGAGAGTGGGGGCTTTCGGGAGAGAGAAAAAGCCATCGCAATAGTGAATAACGCTATAATGTATTAAACTATTTAATATACAGTATTATTAAGTATGAATTAATTTTTATAAACTCGGTTTGGATCTAATGATTGCATTTTGATATTTAACGCATTTTTCTACACGAAATTGAGAGGAGAGAGAGAGAGAGAGAGAGAGAGAGAATTAAAATCGAAATCATTAATCTTTAGCTAATAGGAAAGCCAATGACCAAAATATTAATAACAATAATATTATCATTTATTTTTTGTTCAGTTATTATGATATAATAGTTTTTGATAAAAAATACATAAAACAATAATTAATGTTTTGAATATAGATTTCAACGCAAAAACAAGAATAATTGGACGACAAGTGCGGCAAATGGTATAACAAGTGAATGGTTAGAGAGAGTGACACGTCTGTAGATAAGACTCAACAGACATGTCAAAAGGCAACTCTTCATAATAATAATCAGTAGATTTTCTTTTGAAAAAATAAGTTAAATATCTTTAACGACTGTTACGCGAGACTTATTTGACAACAAAAACATAACATTTAATATATGCTATCAAAACATTATACTTCGCAAACATTTAAATCACATATTAATACATAAGAAAACATTATTTAACACTTGTTTGGAGAAAATCAAAAGAAATGCTGTGAATGAATGGCGAAACCAATTTTGAAATCATTGCCTTTTCTAATGTGATGTTTGCATAACCAAAACAGATATAAACAATGAAAATACAAAAATGAATAATATTTTTCCACTCGTTATTGCAATTTATTTCATAGTCTTTTTGGTGCCATTTCTACGGCGAACGAGCAGTGAATTTAGAGGTGAAATGAAAGCCGTATTTGTTAACTGTTTTTATATGTAATGTTTTGCAATAATAGTAAGCCTTCTTTGATATACAATATACACAATACATAGCACTGTATATATAGACACACAGAAGAAGGAGATGAAGGAATACAACTGAGAAAAAATGGGTAAATATTTTACCAACAAATACCTTATGTAAAGCTTAGATAATGTATGGCCAGAAAACAAGTAGAAAAGCCTTTAATAGTTTTGCCAATAAAATGGCTTTCGATTGAAATGTATTTTGTGATCAAAATAAAGAGTAGGAATAAAGTTCTCGTAGAAAATACTGAGTAAAGAAATATTTCCGAAAGTAATTCCGCGAATTTCGCTAATAATCTCTCGCTTTTTTGATCGATAGTCTTAAATATTAACAAAAATGTATTTACTCTCTAAAAGCAATACAATATTAAATTGTAGCTTATTTTTCTCGCTTAATATACACAACATTGTCGTTATTAACTCAAATGAATGAGAGGGAGGGAAGAAGGGATGGAGAGAGAGAGAGAGAGAGAGAGAGAGTTGAATAGAATAAGACACATATACACACACAGAGAGAATACATAAAAAGTGATGGTTTTGTGTTTTTCATCGTCAAAGTCGAGTCATTTCATGGTTTACTGTGTATTCATTCAACTCTTATCACAAAATCTCAAATCTTTTCGGGAATAGGAATGCAAAGCAAAAGAGAGTGAGAACTCATATGAGAGTTGGAAAGCAGTGGAGAAACTAATTTTTGTCAAAAGCGATGTTTGAATGAAATGAATGGATGGAAAGACATGGCAAGAGTGGATGTACTGTCGTGTTCAGTGAACAGAGTGTGAGTGCCATCAGTGGTGGCATAATATGATGGGTTGGAGAGAGAGGACAAGTATGTGAGCGCACATATCCGGCAATTTCCATGTTTTGCGCTTCACTGACAGTCACTATCATTTCTCTCGGGACTGTCCCATACAATTGCCATACAATCTCCAGACCTAAGAGTAGGTGCGCTCACAGACACACTGGCAGGAGATGAGGGGATGAGTCAATCAAAAAGTGCATTCTTTGCGCTATGTTTGCAGTGAGTGATTGCTTTGTGTAAAGCTTTTTAAAACCAAGAATTGTGAGTAATAGACTTAACATAATAAAAGGCAATAAAAATATGTAAAAATATTTCCCATACAATACAATATAAAAGTTATGTAAAAAGTAATAGTAAGAGAGAAATGCTATTTTTAGCGGTTAAACAACATATTCGTGTATCAAATACAACAATACTGTTGAGATGTGTTGCCAACGATTGCCAAAGTATTGCATTTCTCACGTGTTTATACCTCACAAGAAGATTATCCACTAATAGGCGCCCCCGTACTAGTGCTCACTGGCCTGACGACTCATTTACAGACCAGAGAGGCATACGAGAGAGAGAGAGAGAGAGAGAGAGAGAGAGAGNAGAGAGAGAGAGAGAGAGAGAGAGAGAGAGAGAGAGAGAGAGAGAGGCATATTTTTTGTGAATTACATTCCTTTCTGAGAAAACTATTAGAAAATATATTATAACTTATATTGAAAGGGAATATACTTTATGTATTCGTTATTGAAGTCATACATAATTAGTGGCAATCTTTGAAATTTAGGAAAGCGTTTAGAAGTGAAGGGCACGTCATTAAAGAGCCGCACACCAAACAAACCCCAACAGACCTGTAGGTCTGTCTCAGCATTTGGCTAAAGAAGGCGGAGATATAAGTCTAAAAGACCTAAGAATAGGACTAAAGAGATGTGGAAAAGAGACCAAACATAAGAACAAAGTCGAAGACAAGAAACAAATACAACGACGAGTGAGAGAGTGAGTGAGTGTTGTCTATCGGTTTGTGAGCCGGCGGTGAGTGTAAGCACTGGAAGGCATAGCGAACCCAAAGATTGATTAGAAGAGTATTGAATGTATTGAGCGGTAGATATAATAAGAGCATAAACTGGCAAAACATGAGAACACACTATAGCTTTCTGCGGCTCACAGTATATACTAATAGTTAAGTTTCACAACTAATTCGTATTCAAGTAATTTGAAAACAAGTACTGAAATAATTGAAACACAAGTATTATATGAAAGGCATCGGTGGAAGAAAATTGAGATACTGTTAGACATTAGTGTGAAGTGAATGGAGGAGAGAGAAGAAAGACAAGCAATAGAGAGAGATATTGTGAGTCATTCATTAGATTTTCTTCAAACATTTGTTGGATTCCCTCACAATTGAGATCCCTTTCGGCTTTTGCGACCCTAAAAAGTTTCGGTCAATAGGAGCCGCATATTAGAAGTACACTCAACACGAGATTGCATTAGAGAGAGAGAGAGAGAGAGAGAGAGAGAGAGAGAGACATTCATTTCACATATGATATCACATGTAATGGCTTACAAGAGTATATGGCGTACAATAAAACGAGTGCTGAGGAAAAAATTACTCGCATTTATTTAAACAAAATGCAAATTTAATATTAACACAAGACTGAACACTACATGCATTGGGAGAGACAGACAGATACAGAACCGAGTGTTGGGCTCCAGATAGAGGACTGACAAAACACGTGCTATACTTATATACACTATTATGTGTGTTATATAACTTCGATTATGTTATGTAACTTCACGTTCAGATTAATGAATAGCATAACAAAACCCGATGGGAGAGACGATCGAGAGCTGAGAGAATTGAGAAAAATGGTTCAGAAATTGTGTGAATCTATTGTTAGACATAAAACACTACACATTGCGAGGGAGAGAAACGATGGACAGACAGATCTCATCGAAATCTGATGCAGAGTTTGCCGTAAAGTTTGCATACGTTTTCACGAATGACAGACAGTATTACGTGTATTATTATAACTGCAAATATATACTACTTATATACTCGAGAGACTAAAAAACTGAAAGCTATTTCACTAATAACACAAATATAATACAATAAAATCAATTTTTGGCACAACTATTGCCATTAAATATTAAATTGTTTTGAATTATACTCTTTCCTCTCCTTCTCTATCGGAGAGTGTATTTCACGATATTTTATGCAACCATTCATTATAAGAGCAAACAAAACAAAAGCTAACGTAAAATACAAAACAAAAAATGTTGAATAATTCATGAAAAGTGTTAATAATAAATGTCACCAAATATTTCATATATATAAACGAAAATGGATTAATATTTTGCAAATAACTCATCCATAATAACAAGAGATTTATTCTTAAAGGAAATGTAAATGAAAGCCATTTTTCTGGTTTCGAGTTTTGGTTGCCTTTTTCGACGAGTGATATATAAAAGTATATGAAAAGTGAGCACCAAATGGATGGCTCTCTTGTGACGGCAAGTAATGCGAAATCATAACGGATTAGTCGTCGGTTCCCAACCATAACAGTGTTGTATTCAGTGTTTGCACTTTGCATACAATACACAACCAATAACTTATCTCTCGATACAAGTAATTCATGTGACGGAACAGATATTCACCAGTTTTTAAATATTTATG